AAGTACCACTACGCCACGCTCCCCGACGTACTAGAAAGGGAAAAAATGAGTTGCTTACCTTTTCATACAGTAATGGATCGATAAGTTTCAACTCTCGCAAGGCTTTTCTTTGGGCTCTGAGGGCTTCCCGAACCCATGTGTCGTCCATCTTTTGCAGCACGTTGCGACTACGAGTGTACTGCTGGAAACGACATTGTGGAATGGAAAAGCGGGATTAAAATAAAAATAAATTAAAATAAATGACGAAAACAAATAGTAGTAAATTCTATTACTCTTTTTCACTATAAATGCAGATAAAGGGACATTTGAAAATTTCTAGCCTCGTACAAGCAGTAAAAAAGCATAAAAGGATAAGATGATGCGATAAGAGATTAGGATAAGATAGCTGCCTATCAGAGGTGACACAGCATTATAGCTTTTCAACAACCACAAGTATGAATTTTGTGCTGCCACTATGATCACAGTACTTTCGGGCAGGTCTATGCAATATCCGGCTGTTTCGTCCTCAGACAGGGTCTGTGACAATTGGCCAGAAGGATGGAGGGTCTTGATGATGGACGAGATTCTGTCGGCATTTTCCCCCCCCCCCCCGAAACATGCGTCTGTTGCCACTACAACCACCTCCGTCCAAACACGCGCTCAACACTCGGTAATAATTAGCACTGAACGATTTCGTAGAATAGACAGCTAGCACCGCGTAAGGTAACTACTTCAGTAAATTTCGAATAGAAAGAGGCCATTATCCCAGCACATTATGGTATGGGATATTGAAATAACGTGTGTTACCCTCCGCATCCCCTTTGATGGTGCTCCAGTGGTTTATTAGTGTGGGATCCAGACGAAAATGATTGAGTTATGGTAGTGCAAGCCATCACTCTAACGGAACCTGGTGTCAATGTCAAGAATCAAAATTGACAACCGAAACGAAATAACGGAAGGCGTATCACGGAATCCCATCATGAACCAATACCAAATCAACGTTTAGAAAGGGGTAGAGAAAATTTACTTTTGGTGGGTCCGCTTGACGACTAGCCCAGTCGGAATAGGGTTTTGAATTAAAACTCATCTCAGGCAGTGCGACAACACGTAGCTGGGAATCGCCCCAAAAACAGCGTTCATATTGACGAACGCCGTCGTGAGTGTAATAAGGTCTGTAGTTCTGCCCTAGGTGTAAAACGCTGTCAAGAGGTTCCTACTACGTGAGAAGCTGGAATGTTCGAGTTACACTACATCGCTGAGCCGCGCGCGGCGACTGCCTCCCCCCCCCCCCGAGCCACATTGCGCCAAAAAGAAAACAAGTGTATGAGTGCAGGAGCTAATGCAACAACAATATCAGAGGTAAACGAACCTTAAAGGAAACTGCTCTGTCATCTATCTGATCCTCAGTCAAAACTGTCGGTTCACGGTATCGCTCACTGAAATCAACAAATTGTGAAAAAAAAAACCTCAAGCGCTCTGTACGAAACTTTTCGCATACAAGCACTATTTGGTGCTCTGTTCCTACTTCAGCTATCGTACAACCTTTCATATGTAAGATGAATACCGACTTCTGAGAAACAATAACAAGGATACAAAATTGAGCAGGATTCTGGTAAAAATTGAGTGCAAGTTCGGAATCCTGTACAAAGCCAGCAAAGTCACTACAGAAATGCTTCCATGGAAGTCTAACCTCGAACCAACCACTCTCTAGGGCTTTTAAAAACTAAAACTACCATGATATCTTTAATAAGTTTTCTAGAGAACAAGAAATTGTGAGGGGCTCGCAAGAAGTGTGACGGATAAATGGGATAGTGTCACGTGTTTTAGAGGTTATAGATATTACCAAGCCTTTACTAACTTCAGAGCGCACAAGCAGGAACTCAGTTGGACTGACTGGAAGGCTAGAAGCAAGAAATGCTGGAGTGGGGCTCGAGAACAATGAGAGTAACGAGGCATATTGAAAGTTGACAGGAATTCGTTGATAGACAATTACCCTATGTTCTTTGCAGACTTGACATCCAATGTCAGCTCATCAACCGGCTTTGGCTTCTTGCTGTGCTTCTGCATTTGCCTGATTTCCTTCTCAAGCTTTTTCCTCCTACGAACTTCTCGTTGCTTCGCAACCTAAACAACACAATGGTTTGCTGGAGAGAAGAAAAATTACCACAGCCTTCAGACGGCGACGAATTTTGAATGATTCTAAAGAGAACAAATCGCATCGTTATTTTACAGAAGCCGAGAAGGGCGGAGGAAAAGCTGATTATGGCCAAGAAACGCTAGCTTCCCAACAACACTGCGCTGTTAAGATTAAGAGGCTCGATAGGGCAGACCCTGCATAGCGCACTTCGTGAATGTCCTATCGATCCCCTTAATCTGCGTTCCGTGGCAATTAACAAAGGACCATGGAGCCTCATCCCAGTCCATTCCCATATTTCCAGAAAATAGATGTAAATAGGTTCTGCAACGTACGAAAAAATAATGCCCAGAGCAAGGACAAAGCGGCTGTAGCTGATCTAAAAACGGTATATTTCGACGAATTGTTACTAAAGATGAGTACGTGCACCTCATGCTTTTTTTCTCTGTTACCGAGTTACTGCTCTTCTATAATTTTGGTATTCCTTATGATTCATACCTATTCAATGTCTTTCCATAAAAGTAAGGCAGCAGATCGCACCCATATTTTTTTTGCTATGTTAGCAGCACAAAACTTCAGCCTCAACTCCTTCATGTTATGGGTTCCATCTAGGGTCAACGATCCCCCCTCGACCCAACATTCAACATACGGCCCATGATATACCCCTCCACTCGACGCTGTTTGGAGGGAAAGTGGGCGGAGTTGGGTTGTGATGACTGGTCCCAGAATCAAACACTACAGAGACAGCACGCTGGAAGCAGGGTGTGATCGGATACGAAGGGATAACGTGCTGGGAGAGCCTCCTGGGTCTCATGGTGGTGCCGGAGTGCATCGAAATTCCCTCTAAAGAGAGTGTGAGCGAAATAATCTGAAACGGGGGTGTGAAGGGGGTATGTCGCAAGGGCGCGCCGGGGGAGGGGCCCCCGCGCGCCACTGCGCGCGGGGCGGCGGGGGCCGGCCGCCGGCGCGGAGTGGGAGTGTGCGAACGTCACGGTTCACCCTGGTTCCATCAGTTCCATCCCCAAACAATGAAAAAGTCCTTTACCGTTCATTTTTGCCTCCTGCCTATTCATATCCTTTTTTCATACATGCGCACATTTAGGACCTCATTGTCATTAAGTTATGCCGGGCACTGCCAAAAATGGAAACACAGTTAAATTCGGCCAACGATGGTTATGCTTTAGCGAGGCTCCGCACACGTTCGATTCACTTACCACCTTAGGCCGGACGCATAGTCGGTCGGACGACAGCAACGACTGCAAGTGTCGCACAGCATTGGGTGCGTATCGATCTGCGACACCTGCGGTCGTTGCTGTCGTCCGACCGCTGCTGTCGGACGACAGCAACGACCGCAAGTGTCGCATAAACCGACGCATAGTCGGTCGGACGACAGCAACGACTGCTGCTGTCGGACGACAGCAACGACCGGCAGGGGCCGGGTGCAGCAAGCCCCAACTAGGGGAGGGATCCCCAACCTTGGGGATCCCATCCCCACCCAACGAGGGGAGGGATCCCCAACCTTGGGGATACATCCCCAACCTTGGGGATATATCCCCAACCTTGGGGATATATCCCCAACCTTGGGGATATATCCCCAACCTTGGGGATATCCCCAACCTTGGGGATATATCCCCAACCTTGGGGATCCATCCCCTCGTTGGGTGAGGGGAGGGATCCCCAACCTTGGGGATATATCCCCTACTTCGTCGCAAGACCCATCGTTTTTCGGTGGCTCCTGTGACGCAACCGTGCGGGACGGTCACTGCCGTCGACCCTCTGCGTCTCTGCAGGCAGGGGATATACATCCCCCTAGTCGAGACTAGGGGGATTCGTCCCCTCACTTGGCGACGCGGAGAATTGAAGGCAGTTTCGGGTTTCTTCACCCTCTATTTCGCTTCGTTATTCGCATTTCTTTTTTCGCCATTACCTTGCCTTTGTTCATTCGCTGTTTTCTAAGCACTGTTCACAGTTTTAAAATTATCGAATATTCAAATTTGCGAAAAGAATCAGATACATATCAACATTAACCCTTTCGGCCCTGGCGGTGGCAATTGCCACCACCAAATTCAAACGCTTGCATTTCCGCTGAAACAGCATAGTTTTTCTAATTCTGCTAGAGTTTGCTTCAGTCAACCTTCCCCTTCCTAATTATGAGCTTAACCGGCCATTTCATTGTTTATTGCTGTTAGTATTGCAAGTATTTGTGTACAAGTGCAACAGTGAATGGGCGCTGACCCCCGCAACCGGCCAAGTAAGTGTGACTTTTGTCTTAAAATACTTGAAGTGGATCCATTCCTAAATCAAAATTATGGGTTATAATGTTATGCAAGATTATAAACTTTTTCGGCATAACTATGAAATTTCGAATTGTTTCGACATAAGCTTAAAAACTAAGAAGGTGGGCCAATTTTCAAAGCTTCTTAGTTTCTTTGTTTGTGATCGAATAGCTTCCAAATTTCGCCATAATGATACCTATATGCTCACAAGTAATAAACAATAGCTAGAAGAAAAATTTCTCCACGGGGAAAAATTCAGGTCCGAAAGGGTTAAGAATCTGCGCACTGCGCGAAA